AGGTACTCACGGCAATGTCATTCATAGATGATTTCTGGGCGAATGCGAACTTCTCATGTAAACAATGCCAGTCCAGCAAAACTGCCACTTCCGGGTTCGCAGACAAGTAGTCTCACGGAAAATCGTTCGATCCAATTCGGAGTGATGCCGTCTCACAGTTCAAGTACCCACAACTTCAATTCAGCAACTTTCCAGTGATGAAAGTGCTCTTTTCAGTCAGCGACTTTCCGTTTCACCTCCCGTGTCCCCTCGTCAGTGAATCCTCCTGTCCTGCCTGGTTTTCCTTTTTTTACCTCTGTCAATCCGCGAGCGCGCGACCCGTTATCTCAAATTGACTAATAACGTGAATGAATCACGTGATAATAAGCAGAATAAACAGATTAATTAGAACAAATAATAGGTCACTCACAAATGTAACAAATAAACACTGGGCATGGCACAATACAATCAGAACTATTTTCTAAGCCGCATCACATGCGCTCCTTGATTGCTAAGTGTAGAACTATTTCAGCATGATAACGCAACAACTTGTACATGTATGTACCATAATAACTCTATTAGACTGATCATTCATAAAACAACTTATCCACTATGTTTCGCTAGCATAGAAATTACACATGGTTACATATATGTATCTAGAGTGGGCATAGATAATTACATTGGGGGTGTTAATGTTAGGACGTATGCTAGAGGAATAAGCAAGTCTTTCCTGGGTTGGTGTTTGTTAGTTGTGATTCTACTGTATTCTACACTTTGTTGGTAATGTATCTGTTCATTTCTAGTGCAGCACTTTTGTCAATATTTGATTAGCTGTCATATAATATGAGTGTTACACAATTTTTTGCCAAATGTGTATTTAAAACTATTGAAAGATTGCAATATAATCAATATACCACAAATCAGGGTTGTAAACTTGTTTCCAATAAATATATCCATATACCTATCTTTAATAAATATATCTAGTGGAAATCTGCCTAGATCCATATCTAGTATAGACATTTGATAGATATACTGATGATGTATTTTATTGTGTATATTGAGAGCAAAACTGGAATCAACAAAATCGATGCCGTGCCAGGAAGGTACTTCCCCAGACAACTTAAATTTAGAGTCTCGATCAGACTATGACGGCAATGTGTCAACAGCCCGCGTCAGCAGTAAAACTCATTTCAGTGACATAAATTCAAATTACAAATAATTTCCAGAAAAAACAGACTAAAACGACACTAAAAGATAAACAAACAGTATTTCAATACCTGCGGTTTCCATCTCGTAAGTGGACTGGTTCGCTTGGGGATCTGCTCACTTGGGGATCTGAACCCGGAAGAATATATTTTAACGCATGCGCATCATCACCGTGACGTCGTATGTTTACGTCCTCCATTTTTGGTTTGTTGGTTCCGTGGTACAGGAGTATTTCCTGTTGAATTTCGTCATTTGTCGCTGAATTCACGAATTCCACTCGGCTTCAAAGTACCAGTTAGAGTCTTTACAGAATGAGTATCTTTGGCAAGATGTTCGGGAAGCCTAAGGCCGATGGAAAAGCGCCATCAGCCCAAGAAGCCATTCACAAACTTCGAGAGACAGAAGAGATGTTAGGAAAGAAACAAGAACATTTAGAGAAGAAAATCGATCAAGAACTTCGAATCGCTAAAACGAACGGCACTAAAAACAAACGAGGTATGAGTAATATAATTCTATGCGTTTACCGGGATGTATAAATAGGACAACTGTATTGAGTATTTACAGCCTATTTTTGACCTGACACAACTAGCGCCACGCCTGTGAGGTGTGATTCTAAGTGTCTGCTAGCTTCAGCCGAGTGTGATTCTACGTGCATTTCACGTTTCGCTTGTGAGATATTCTACGTCGATAATAATTTTAAATATTTCATATTTATTTCCCATGTATGTTTCTTGTGTCTATGTGTATCGAATTTAAACCTGACCATCGATTACCCTGCATTCTGAATGATGAGTCATTTAATTTTCGATTTCACTCACATGACTCTGACAGATACTAAATTCAGAACAACTGAACAGCTGAAAAATAAATTTTGCCTCTCGTGTCACCTAGCCAATAGTAGATTTTCTTGTCACAAAACACTTTTCATCTCTCTCCAGTGACAACTCACTTACCTCCTTCCACAGTGATTACATACTTTCAACCCCACCCCCAGTTACATATTCTCAAAAAACTATTTAACTCTATTATCAAACCCACAGCTTTATATGGGGCTGATGTGTGGGGAGGGGTTATGCTGAACATCTACAAGGGGTCTGGTAAAAATCAATGTACAGTCGACAATTGCAATTTTGAAACAAAACTTTTCTCAGATAAATTAATTCCAGAAAAACTTCACATTAAATTCTGTAAAAGAGTTCTGGGTGTGCACAGGAAAGCACTTATATTGGATATTTGTGTTTCAGTTATGAAATATTATCAAAGACTAGTATGTAAAAAACACAACAATTCTATCATTGATGCAGTCTACTGTAAAATGACTAATTTTCACTGGGTTTAAATTTCACAGATTTAACATTTCAGGCATAGTCAGTGGGTTTTAAATTCACGGTTTTACCATTTAGATAATGTGTTCTATGCCAAATTTTACATATTCCCTGGGTTTTAATTTAGCGCATTTTCCAGTCAGCGAAATAAGCGAAATTAAAACCCAGTGAATAATTAACCCTTTTACAGTATGAAGAATCCAAAACTTTTGTGCATGATCCATGGCTTAACCTTATACAAAAATTACTAGTCATAACAGATCTAGCTAATTCAGACCCACATGAGAAAATATTTTGTGATATTTTTAAAGAGAAGCTCAAATCTTTGAAAAAATAAAAATCATAGAATAACCTGTACTAAATTTAGAACTTCGACACATTCTCTTCCCTTTGAATCCGGTAGGCATAAAGGCATTTTGAAGGAAAACAGGCTATGTAATCTTCATGAATGCAATGAAGTAGGTGATGAGAAACATTACATTTTATATTGTAATTACTGTCAAATCAAATGCCCCAAAGCTGGAAGATTTTAGCATGGATGAATTATTTCCTATTATTGTTTCAAGTAATGATTTTTTTCATTCTTAGCATTTTTGCAAAATTTATTTTCTATATTCTTGATATGTTTTAGTACTGTAAGTTTTAGTTGTTCTGAATGTTTTGTTTTGTTATTGTTATTTTTGGACTTTATTCAAGATTTCATTGGTACAGTACGTTCCAAATAAAAAATTCTATCTATCTAATTCTACCTTATTTATCAAAATGAATTAAAATATCAGGGGTTAATTAAACTGCGTGAAATGATTTCCGGTCTCGACAAATTACGAATCAACCATCATACAAGATCAATAATAATTTACAAATTTACACAGTAAAAATTATAAAAATTCATAGCTGTTTATTGCCATCTTCGTCAAGCTCAAAACCCTCAAAGTCCAAGTCTGTGTCACTGTAGCCGTCGAACAAAATTCCTACAACTTCTTCCTGAAGTTAGTAGATATCGTCCCACACAATTTGAACTTAGCACTTTTAATCCAAGGATTTTGCAGTCTGTCAGCTTGGCACTTTTAATTCATGTCTAATCACAATAAAGAGACAAGAAAAATGGGGTCGCTCTGCTGCGATGGCACACGATGATTTTGTTTACAGTCTGGCAATCATCTTTGACCTTTATGCATCTGCTTTACTGGCTAAGAATGACATCACTACTAGTATTTCATCATAAAGCTCAAATAAATCGTGACATTGCTTTCTTATCAAGACTCAACGCTTATCAATTACTGTGAAAGTTACCATTCAGCCAAGTTCAGGTGGTTGGAATGTCTCACTATATGGATATCGCGGTGGACTTGAAATAGGAAGTTTTTTTTTTTATCCAACGACAGAAGAATAGTTTTCATGACAGAAATGCAATAGTGGTGATGAATGAAAGATGCTAAAAAAGTTGGCAGTCACGGCGTGACATTGCAAAATTGCTGGCCCCAGTTATGGATTCACAAGCTGCTACCAAATATTTTATAAAGCCAAAATGACGTGATTTCAACCGCTTCTGGTCAACTCGACCCCAAGTCAACTCAACCCCAGTCAACTCGACCCCAAGTCAACTCGACCCCCGTAAGTGTAGATATTGTTCAGATGGTGTTGGTGACACACTGCGTTGTCGATTTCACCGACTTTCGTGTGCTATCCTCATGTGCGTTATGGTTAATGGCTAGTACGCTGTCGATTTCACTAACTTACGCTATACCTATGTAGGTGGCCCCAATGTACACTACAGCGAGCGAACAAACAACATGGCGCCCGTCCTAGCACCTTCACAATCGTGCACGTGATGATCGTGCAACGGAAGTTGGGCGGGGATCAATCTGATTAAAATCTGATGTAGTGTACGGGCTTTAATTATTTTGGCTATAAACTTATTTTAATTTTA